ATTACATGTAGAAAATCTTTCACTGCAATCTTCACCATTTCTAGCCGCATCGACGGCACTATTTACAGCAGTTCCGCTCAATATGTTGCGTATTGAATCCAGACTATTCGAAAAATACCATTCGTTATTAAATTACAATATAAATAATTGCTTTAGTTTATACCTTAACATTCCATCAATAACTTTTCCAATACTCCCTGATGGGTCATAAGAACTTTTTTGTATATAATCACAAATGGATTTTTGCATGCAGGTACCCAAATTGATATTCCGTTCATGTAATTTTGTCTCGACAAATGAGAGTATGTTCTGCCGATCTCCTTCATCTGTAAACATTTTCAAAATTGTAGAATATTTAATAAATTCCACAATTGTTTTTATTTTCTCTTACCGGTATTATTATATGTATTCCACACTGTTTGCGGATATTCTCCAGAATTTCGTGATGTTTTACGAAATACAGGATAACCAGGTGGTAAAAATGGTGTGAATAGGAATTTCAATAGTATTGCGAAGATACCGCCGACAGCCACTATTGCACCCGTTGTCAATAATGAACTGACGTTCAGATTGAATAGACTTCTCAAAGCCGTCTTTGCCACCGACATACTACGTTCGATGGGTACACGTAGAAATGGAATAATGAATTCTAATTCAATGCTGACATCTTTTTCATCGGCATGAAATTGAAATCCTCGGGATTTGCGCTCCTTTGATGAGAGTTTGCGGGAAATTTGATTTTTTTCCACATCTGGTGAGAACATCATATCCGTATCGATTTTCACATAATTACGCGGTTCAAAATCATGAAATCTCAATAACTTTGTAGAATTTGTGGCAGTTGTTGTTGTATAAAATCTCCGTTGATTTATATTTGTCGTGAATTCATAATAATTAAAATTCATAAATAATATTGTCACCATGAGTAATATGTGTAAAGCGTAACATTGATGCACTTTCAACATTGCAAATGTGTCACAGCGGGCTGGCGTATTTTTGAAGACCGTTACCGTTAACAAACGAACAACATCTGAGTCAGGTTTGGTGGTAAAATAATGCTTATATTAAAGTATCTTTATGGTGCAACTCGGGTAATTACCATAAAAACCCCTTTAGGAAGAATAAATGTAAAATTATCGTAAAAGGGGAATGACATATTATTTTCACGCTTTGTTAATAAACAAATTTGTAAATTTATGGTGGATGGGCATGGCATGGCCCATTCAACATTACGACTAGGCAAATGTTTAAAACAGAGTTTTTAAAAGAAAAAAGCCTACAATTTTTATAATGTTTTTTTAATGTTAACCAGTTTGCATTCTATTTAATGCTACTAATTTGCCCAAAAAAGCCTGCAATGACCTTCAACTATCCGAACTTAGTGTTTTATAAGAAACAAGTTAAATAAAAGGTCCATAGAAACCAAATTATGGGATTTACATATTATATTGTCGAATCGTAATCAGAGACCTAATATGAGGTCTCATTGGGCCTTTTTTCCTAACAGAAATGATTAAAATCTACCGAATTTTGGGTAGGTATTTGGATGGCACTAGATCTAATTTGGATTGAAAGTCTTAAATATTCAAGGATGAAATATTTTAAATTCTTCTTCATGTTAAACTAGTAAAAAGGTGTCTGTAGGTGTTGCCGACAGACACACAAATGGAATTTTAAATACCGTATATAAAAGGAATAATAAAACTTCGTAGTTACACACAGTAACTCCGAATACCTCCGCAAACCATAGGCTGAGGGGGTATACGAGGCAGTTCGGAAAGTTCTTAGCCTAGCACAAAAAGTACGGTATAAACAGAAACAAATTAAAAAGTAATTAATTAAATTCTATCTCTTTATGAACACATGCTAAATTTTGTTTCGATCTGGCAACTCCTTCATATAGAAACAGGTGTTCAAAAAAGACGCATCCGCAATTTTTTACAACGGGAAAATTAGAAATGCGTGCTTTCATTGTAAAAAAAATTGGGTCACACCTTTGGACTTGATTTAGGCTTGGTAAATAAAATAGGTTGTGTAAAGTTTGGTTCAAATCGGATAGTCCGTTCGTATGATATTATAAAATTAATTTTTAGCACAATTTTGAGCATTTTGTGGGGGAGGTACCAGAAGGAGTGGACCGATATTCCCCATCTTCCAATTTTAACTAAGTTTGGTAAAAATATTACGATGTGCAAAGTTTGGATGAAATTTGATACTCTCTTCGAGAATTATCGTGCGTACCAGCCAGCCAGACAGACGGGCGGACAGACCATATCAAAGTGTATATAACCTAATTAGCCATATACTGAGGATATAAAAAACATATTTAAGGTCGTAATTTGTAGATTTTTATTAAATTCTCTTCAGCGCATCAAAGCAAGGACGTTGGGTTTCAAACCGTAAACTTCTATGAATTTTTAAAATTAATTGTTAATTAACAGATTTATAAATTTTAATTTTAAAGACCTCAAAGCGGGGATTCCTTAAAGAATTTTAAAATTCCCTTTTCAGATCTTTAAGCGTAGAGTTATTTAAATAATTTGAAAATCCCCCTTTAAGGCCTCTAAGCGTAGATTTATTTAAATAATTTGAGAAAAACCCTCCTTTAAGGGGACCTCCCATTCTCGGGGTCAAAAATTTTTTTGATTCAATTCGAATCAACACTAATTCAAGAATGTCCCTACAAAATTTCAAGTGAAAATCTCAAGAACTCTTGAAGATATAGCCGATTTATTGTGTCAGCATCAAGTGACGGCTAAAGGGCTTCTCAAACTTTAAACGCGTTTTTCTCTTTTGCGAATGGCGGGCACGATAACTCAAAAACTAATAACCCAATCGATTCCAAATTTTTACACGTTTCTCTGTGAGTGTATAGCTATCGTATGAACTAGGATAAAGCCAATCGGTGAAGATCTTCCTTATATTTTAACTTAATTTTTGGTAAAAAATCGGCGATTTTCCAAAAATATTTTTTCAAAGGTCCGCCATTTTGTTAATTTTAGAGCAAAGTCAATAATCCTAGTTCATACGAGAGCCAGACATGTACTCTTTCTACCACCGTTGGAATTTTCGGATTCCGATGTTCCAGTGAGGAGTTATCATGCCCGCCATCAAAAATAAGGGCTTTTCTTTAATTGCAAAAACAACAACAAAACAATAACAAAATTTTTTTGTAAATTATTTTTCTTCTCTTTTAAATATTCAAATATATATGTGCAAAGTTACAAACCTTAACAAGCATTGGTATTGATTTACCAGCCCATTGAAAATCTTGAAAAATTAAAATCGAGAATGGGGGAGGTTCCCTTAATGCATCTAAGCATTGATTTATTTAAATAATTTGAAAACCATCCTTTAAGGCTTCTAAGCATAGATTTATTTAAAGAAATTTAAAATTCCCTTCGTAGATTTTTTAAAGAATGTAAAATCCACTTCAAGGTCTATAAGCGTAGATTTTTAAAAACAATGTTTAATTCTTCGAAGTTCAGAAATTTTTTAATGACTTTCAAGGCCTCAATTCGTAGGATTTGTAATGCCTCGAAGAATAGATGTATCTGCTGCCTTTATCATCCAATCAGTTTTTTCCATTCTTCATAATCTTCACTCGATGGATTTCTTTTCTAACGATGAATACTTTTGTTACAGAGTCCGCTTCTGACATAGTTGTTTAAGTGGTAGCTTCCTTCTCAGCGGAAATATTTGTCATCAGTTTTATTCGCTCTCAGTTATCTCAACAGGGTTTCTAAAATAAACGAATCGATTAGCGGACTCCATGGCTCTTTTATAATAAAAATTACTCTTCGACATTCTATTTTTCTTTCCGACTACATGGAACATCCATCATTATCTCCTTTTTTCTAGCTGCCACATAATTTCTGTCTCACAAAATTGCAAGTATTCCTATTTTAGTTCCTATTTTTCTAGATTATTATTATCCACGTATCTGGTTCGTTCTGATTCTTTTTCAGTAATATTACCCTTTTTACCATGAACTGTTGGCTCCGCAAAATTCTCTATGAAATATCTCTAGCTTCGTTTCTTCTAAATAAATTCCCTCTAGTGTGAGAGCTTCTTTTAAATAAATTTCCTCCATAATGAGGTTTTCTTATAAATAAATTCTCTCCATTGTGATGTCTTCTTATAAATTACTGTGAGTTTTTGCGATGGGTACCAACAGTTTAGTGTACGATGTATTTTCTTGCTCTTCCATATAATCTCCATTTCTTTTGAAATAGTTCCATTATTTCTATCATCTATAATCAATATATCTTTTTTCTATTCCATTATATCCCTATTTTTCCGATAGAAAATAAATATATGCAGCTTCGTGTCTACTAAAAATTAATTTTGTCCCTCCCAGTACAACGTCAAATACTCTAACAAATGCCCTTTATTGACAATTCATTGAGGCATATTTTAAACTTTAGGATCTTATACCTTAAAACCACTTTCCTTTTCCAATTTCCACCGAACACATGACAGGTAAACGGTAGTTTCCTTCTAAGATATTATCTCCTACTTGTTTTGCGACCGAATTGGCTCTAATTTGATACTATGGATTCTCATGGCGTGTCAAATCTTCCTACCAAAAAATCGCAATATCGGTAAACGTTTTTGTATAGCTTGGTATTTTGAAGTAGTTTTGTCGCATTTCCCCACCAATGTGTCTGGTTATTGGCATTATGGGTTCCTGGAGGGAGAAAAACATTTCTGCAGAAAATTGTTGATAATGGTCAAAATTTTTACATAGTCCCTATATATAATTCCGGGTCGGAGCATAAAGTCGTTTTTATTTGTTTAACAATGGAATAATGTCATATTTTTTTTATTTAAGAATATTGAAAATTACAATATCAGTTGCTGCAATATTTTCACGATTCAACACTTATATAACGTTACAATGTTACATCGTTCCGTTACATTAGGAATTCTGTAAACAAAAAGGCAACAACATTTGCTACACGTATACGAAAAAAGTGAATGAAATGATAACAAATTTAGCTCGAGCATAATTTTCCGCTACTTAAAGTGGCAGTACAATGTAAACACAATTTACATAATGTTGACAGTGCAGTCAACTGTAATAAACATACATACCGACATGCAGATGTACATATGTAAGTTTCGAGACACTTTTAAAAATGAAGTGCTAACAAATTGTTTCCTACTATTTCCGTATTTATTTTCCTACTTTTTTAATCAAATCATCCAGGGGGATAATTATTCTCACCAGCGGAGCTTGACAGAATATTGCAACCCCAACTAGAGTTTATTTAAAAGTTGTTTTTCGAATTCCCTGTTTATTTTCAAAGTTCACGTGGAGTACGAAAGTTCATAATGTTCGGAAAAGAAAAATTGACTTATAAATCACTTGGAATATGTTTGCTACTGTTGGTGGATTGTTGCTCTGCTAGCTCATTCAACGATTTTCCCCTCAATGGAACCTCCATTATCTCCAAGTTGGAACGTCAGCCAAAATTAAATATTGTCTCCTTTGAACCGTTGGGTGAACATTTAGCATTGGGTTTGGATTTCCTGCTGCCCTTTATAAAAATTCCCATTACCCGGGAGGATAATGTTTACGGCACTGAACCGGTAAGTAGACAAATTTTAATTAAAATATTTAAAAATAATTTTCCAACAAAATTTTGTATTTTAGGCCCTTATCAACATTAATTCAGCGGCATTGATTACTACTGGCATCCTGGCTGGTTCTGGGGCGCTTATCTCATATCTTTTTAGAAAATATGTGCTAATTGATCCAATGTTTAAATCGGAAAAGTCCGAAAGATCGGATAATGACAATTTTGAAAGTGAGCTATGGTCAATGCTGGAAAATGTTAAAGTGATTTATAGAAATTCTTCGGGAGAAAAAGTTGGTAAGTTTGAAAAATTTGTATAAATATTGGAAATACTGGAATGA